CTCACACTATAGTTTGGAAGAAAATACTGGAGAAAAATATACCTGATGAAAGCTTATAATCCAAACTATTTAGATAACTCTTTAAAATTCAACCAGAAGAAAATGAATAGTATGATTTTAAAAAGGCAAAAGATCTGAAAACATTTCACTAAAAAAAAAAAATAAGAAGACTCACTATAGTTTGGAAGAAAATACTGGAGAAAAATATACCTGATGAAAGCTTATAATCCAAACTATTTAGATAACTCTTTAAAATTCAACCAGAAGAAAATGAATAGTATGATTTTAAAAAGGCAAAAGATCTGAACAAACATTTCACCAAAGAAGATACAGAAATGAAAAACAAGTCTGTGAAAAGATAATTAACATCATCTGTCATTACAGAATTTTAAACTAACACCATTAAACACCTACTAGAATAGTAAAATTTCAACACACAAACAATACTAAATACTGGCTAAGATGTGAAGCAACAGAAACTTTCATTTATTGCTAGTGGGAATGTAAAATGGTACAACCATTCTGGAATATACTTTGACAATTTTGTTTTCATTGAGTTTATTGGTACTTTTTAGGTATACAGCACAGTTACATTCATCATTGGGTTCTTGTACCTTTACATGACAGGTCTTGGTTCTCATTTTTTCCCCATACCCCTGCCCTCCCTTCATCCCCTCCACCCTTCCCTATTTACAAAAACTTTGTTTCCATTTTATCATTTTCTCCTATTTTTCCTTTTCCCTTATTTCCTTTCCCCTACCCTTCCCACTTCCCCTACACCTTTAGTTCTGATAATTTCTTATAAAATGAAACATATTCTCACCATAATGTCTAGCAATTATCCTTCTTCATATTTACCAAGTGAGTTCAAGATTTATGTCCTCACAAAGCCTGCGCATGAATGTTTACAGTAACCTCAAAATCACCAAAAAGAAAGAAAAAATGGAAGCAAAAATTTTGTAAATAAAGAGAGGAAGAGGGGTAGAAGAGAGGGGAGGGGAATGGGGAAAAAAGAACAAGATATATCATGTAAAGGTACAAATCCTCTACGATGAATGTGTTCATTTTGTATATCTAAAATGTAACAATAAACATAATTAATTATTTAAACAATGATCAAAACATAGAAACAACCATAATGTCTTTCAGTAACTATATTAATAATAAACTGTGACACATTTGAATAAAACATTATTGAACATACAGAAAAAGGAGCTATAAGCCATGGAAAGACATGAGGGAATTTAAATGCACAATACTACATGTAAAAAGCCAATCTAAAAAGCCTACATGGTCTATGCCTCCAAATGTATCCCCTTCTGGAAAAGGTACAATAAGGAGATTACTGGTTGCCAGGAATTTGGAAGAAGGGAAGGATGAATAAGGAGAGAACAGAAGTTTTACTTAAAGTAGTAAAACTGTTCTGTATGTCACTATAATGTTGGATACAGGTCATTACAGTTTAAAACCCAAAAATGACAGCACCAAGTAGAAATTCTAAGGCAAATCAATGGCTTTGGTTAATATGACACCCCAATATTGATTCACTTTTAACAAATTCACTGTGGTACAGGATACTGATGATAGCAGAGGCTGTGAATGGGCTGAGCAGGGGAAATGGAAAATCTCTGTGCTTTGTGTTTAGTTTTTTATGAACCTAAAACTGTGCTTTGGAAAGCTTCTCCTCTTTCTTCAACCTAACACGTTCTTCAGGTTATTTTTATGTGCATTGAAATCTGAGAATCACTTCAATTTTGTGTTTACATATCTTTGTGGTACAAAAGCAAATATCAAATTGATTTAAAGTAAGTTTTAATAACTTTTTCTCATTGGAAATAATAAACAAGGTGAACATTTATGAAAAATCATTAAATTATCTGCCATCCATAAATTAATAAAATGATCATGGAATAACACTAAAATAGACTTCCTTGGGGAAATATCTATATCTTTATTAAGAAGAAATGAAAACATAAATGACTTGTGATTTTTACTTTCTGTACAAACATGATAAATCATGTATAGTGGTGAAATCATTATCTATATTATCTTTTACTATAAGACATGTTAAACAATTCCAAACACAGTAGCCAGAAATAGTTGTCTTTTAAATTAGAGACAATTATGAAAGAACTGCTCACTTTGATGTGTTTATTTGATAAAAAGATAGCTACATGTTTCCTCCTATACTTCCTGTTTCTATTTTTAAAAATAGAGCAAGCAGCTATTCTAGTAGCTCTTTTACATAACTTGGCCACAGATGAAACTTTGGCTCAAAGAGCCTACCTAGAATCCATAGCTATAAAAATCTAGTTGTAATGGTGCTGACTCAATAACAACGACTCAAAAACAATCTCTTCAACCCCAAATCCAAGGAACTGAAACTTAATGTGAGCATTAAATAAGACAAGCTTAACATCAAAAGCTTAATTCTGGCATGTGTGTATGTGTGCTCCACTCACACTTCTATTCTCATCATTTCTAGTTTTCTTATTTCTTTAAGAACTCATTTAGTCTAGTATTTAGCATTTCCTAAGCAAACAAAGTAGAATGGCGATTTGATCAGTTCTCATGTACTATTAATGTACATCATCTACCCCTTCTATACACTAACACAGACATACACACTTGCATACACACCAACCACATTCATCTGTTCAGCAGCTCCTGTATTTGTCCAAGTGGGTTCTAACTTTTGTCATCAACCTCATATGAGCACAACTGTATTATTAGCAGCAGCACCTGAGAACATTAGCCTCAAGCTCTTAAATAAAGTTGTACACTATATTTGAAGTAGACTCAAGTACTCCAGAGATTCAGAAAATCTAAAACTCTTTCTCAAGTGGCTGCAACCTCAGTATTTCAAAATGAATGATTGTCAAACTGATTTCTTATAAAAACAAGATACAGCTGTCAATTAAAGTACATCCACCTCTACTGACCAACTCTTTTCCATTTAATTCGTTATCAGGTCAAAAATGAGGCAGGGTAAATGTTGAATCTGTACTTGCCCAATAACAACTATTCCTTTGTTTTTTTTATGTGGATTCAGATGTCCTTATGGATACTCAACCCAGGAGCATTATGTCACATTCACACATATTAGTCTATGTCTGCCGAACACTGAGTTACCCCTGTGCTCATAAACCCACTTATATTGATGATTTCTTTATTGACTATATTTGCTTTTCAATGCAACAGGCCAGACAGAAGAATCTGTTTGTCAGGTGTGGGAAACTTCTACCCCACATCCAGTCGATGCATTCCATATGTGTATTTTGATACATATATCTGTACCAATTATCCTTCCCATCCTTTTCTTATACAAATCTATAATTATTTTTCTTTATATTTAAGAAACACTAGCCTGAGACTGACATACGAGGTTTTCTCATCATGGAAACTGACTGTGAACACACAGTATCCATAATTAGTCAAACTAAGACATTCTTTATTTTTCAAGAGTGCGCAGTGAACTGATCAAGATAACACAAACCTCTTTCTACAGGTCCCTTTCCAAAGGAAATCCAGGAGAAAGTCTAATCACACGTTCTCTGGGTCCTTAGGAACTGAGCACCAAACATCACTCTCTAGTGAAAATCCCCCATGTCGAGGCGTAGTACTGGATACCTAATTCGGGTCAGACTCTGACCCTTCAGAGGTCCCGTCAAGCTTAGCTCCTCACACAGAGAGAAGCATATTCTGTCGGTGCTCCGTTCTCATTTCTTACCTGTCTTGGATTCATTCTGATAATGCAATGGAGCATAAACAATGGCTTGTCTGATTTCCTGCAAGTGTGGGTTAGAATAAACTTCGGGCCCTTCCTGTGTCCTGAACCAGGGGTCGTTGTCATAAATTTTAGCTTCTGATTGTGGTGTTTGGGAATTTGGCCTAGTGCTCACTTCAGTTTGCTCACTCCTCACAGGCTGGATAACATCAATCTGTAAGAAAAAAGTACATTTTAATTAGCAAACTGGGAAAGGTTAGATGGTGTCATACATTCAGAGAAGTCACCCACAGTTCCTCACTTATGCTGACAGTATCTACATTTTTAGCAGACCCTTGATTAATGGTTGAATATTTTGGGGGCTAGTATATTCTTCCCAAATAGTTACCTTGTGCCTTATTAGGAATCACTTTTGAGGTCACAGAACATTTTTTCAGTGCTGAGGAATGAACCCAGGGTCTTCACACTGAGCTATATTCCCTGCACCTTTTTTTGACAAAATCTCCTCAAGACATTAATTTTCTCAGGCTATGCTCAATCTTGTAGTTCTCTTACCTCACCCTCCCAGACTGCTGGGATTACAGTCATGTGCAACATTTTTCATTTTCTCTTCAAGATAAAAAAAAAACAACACAACCCTAATTAAAAGGAAAAGAATAATATTTTATTAAAATGAAAATTTCAGTCATCTTAGAACTCAATGGGAGTATGAAATGTACTGTAAAGTAAAAAGAGAATAAGTATAAAACAGACCGGACATTTCCTATTATTTTATTAAGTCAGTAGACAACACACAAGACTGTCAAGTTACCTGATAAACAGCTGGAAGTTGTCAGTATATCAACAAGATTCCTGTCAGACTTTTCAATCTGTATACACCTGTCAGTTCAGTTACTTGGTCACTTTCCCTCAAAGAACAAACCGCCTCATTTCCATGGACAATTTTGTTAGAATGAATATAGTACTGTACCTCTGAAACTCCTGTAACAATCTGTCAAAGTCATGGGTGCCACAAGGCTGGTGACCGTGATATGGTAGATAGAGAAGATAAACAAAAACACAGACCCTACCTTATAAGCCTATTGTACTTTACAGTTTACAAAGAACTTTTTTAAAAATAGAGATAAAAGTCACCTTTTTAATGTACAGTTGAGTGGTTTTCAGAATACAAGTACTTTTTGTACTCTCCAAAGACCATTTTGGAATAAGATCCAAAAGATGCTTTTATATACACTGATAAAATAAAACTCAAAATGGATGTAGAATGGTCAAAATAAAAGCAAAACTCTTTGTAAGCTTTAGAGGTTTGCTGATAGGGAAAAGTTGCTGCTTGCTGCTTCAAGAACCCAAAATGAAATAATTTTTGGTTCTTTGTTAGTGTTCTCCGGGCTTGCAAAAACTCTGGAGAAAACAGTCTGTCCTTGGCATGGATATTTCAATGGACTTGCAAAACTGATGTGAGGCAGTTTCCCATGAGCCCATAAGCCTTATTTATTTCCAAAGAATGCTGAACTATGTACATATTGCCTCTTGTGCTTTCTGTTATGAAGCCTTGATCCTGCCTTAACTCATGGGAACACTTGTCAGGTTTTTAAACTGAAACTGTGTATTATGGTTTGCAAATCTCTTTTGCAACCAAATAAAATTGTCTTTGCTTTCATTTTAAATTTGTTCATGATTTGTGGCTCACAGTATCCACCATATTTTTAGCAGTTCCCTTCTCTACTGGTTCCTTAAACAAGCTCCTTCTTAGGAAATATTTAGTCCCAGTGACCTACTGGTATCCTTTGGATTACTTTCAGAAATGCTAAACAACCCAAATGGAGAAAATACTTCAAGTGCCTATCAATAAAGGAACACCTTCAAATTTCCCAAATAACCCTTATTAATTCAGCTATAAATCACAATTTTCTTAGTTAACGCAGAAAAAAATATGACCAAGCTTAAGTCACGTGGATTTTACTTCAGAGTAAATTATTTAGATTATTAGCTTGAATAGTTTCATATTTTACAGGCTCGACTATGACAGAATATAGTTTTTTAAATTATCATTTACTTAAGAATAAAGAAAATAATATTTAAGAAAATTTCCCTATTTGAGAAGACAAAGCCTTAACACAGGACATAGTGACTTACTGATCTTAACAACCTTAATAGCATTTACCAAGATAAATGTCTTTGGGTTGGTTTAAAATTTGACAGCTCGGTGGGAACAACATTTAATATTGTATGTAGAATGATTGTCTATATATGCCTATGGCATTTCTGAAACATTCCATAGGCTTACTGCCTCTTCATCTGTAGTTTTCCGTCACACACACACACACACACACACACACACACACACACACACACACACACACACACACACACACACACACACACACACACACACACACCCCAAATTCCTTCAAAGAACCTCATTTGTGATTATTTTTCAGGAGTTTCAATTTTTTTCCACAAATATATTGCCTCATGTTTCATTCTTCATTTAGTTCAAATATCCATGCAAATTTTAATCCAAAAGAAAGGCTTAAATTTATTCTCCAAACCTTGTAGGAAAAATTGCCTTCCAAATGTCCTGTCTTTTGTCCTCTTCCTCAGTGTGTCCAAATACACTACGGAGAACTTCGCACAGTAACTAGGCCCAGCTCATGCTTCTTTATCTGCTGGTATGTTTTATGAAGAAACCTCATTATTATTATTGAGTTATGATTTACTGTGATAAATGACCCCTCAGTGAAGTTATTTATGGGTTCATTCTTTCATTCCAAAACTTTAAGGTATTTATGTGAAAATTAAAAAAAAAAAAAAAGCTAAAGCCACATAACAGGCAAGAGCTGAGCCTTCAGACTTCTCTGGTTTTTTCTTTTTAAATTAATTTTATTGGTACATTTAAGGTATACAATATAATGACATTCATCATTGGAAATTTGCACATTTACGTAATCCATCTTGGTTCATATTTTCCCCATTCCCCTGATTTTCCTTTGAACTCTAGATTGCTGCCCACACCCCTTGATCTATTTATCATCTATCTATCTCTATCTATCTAT